GACTTATTTGTTCCAAAAATTGTCCAAGGACTTATTTAACATTTTTTGGAATGTCCAATGACTTATTTGTTCCAAAAATTGTCCAAGAACTTATTTAACATATTTCGGAATGTACAATGACTTATTTAACATGTTTTGGAATGTCCAAGGACTTATTTGTTCTAAAAAAAAGTTCAAGGACTTAATCATTCCAAACAAGAAAGTTCATTGGTTTTTATTGTACTTTTCTTTACTTTATATTAGGAAACAAACAAAACTTTTATGAAATCACATATTAATCAAATGAAATTAACGGTTGAGATTGAGTTGTATTGGTTGAACAAATTTCAAGGGTTGTATAATAACCATATTTTAAAATCTAAAATATAATTAGAATAATCATTGATTTCTAATAAAAATACTTAATTATTATCTTCGTAAAAAAAATAATAAGTTTGGTATTAATATCAATATTTTTTTTAGTTTTGTATGATATCTTCATATTTATATTTTATTCAAAAATAAAAACATTACGTTTTCTCAAAATCACGTAAATCCATATTATAACATCGGCTGAGACAAAAAAGAAATAAAAAGAAACATTAAAATCAAAATGTATCTCATTGCATTATGCGAATACTCTTCTAGTAATCTTTTTAAAGAGTTTTAATCTTTTTTGGAAGGAAAATATTGGGGGAAACTTTCCCTTTTATAGAATAGTTTTGAAAAGAGAAAGGAAATAATGATAAGTTTTATTTAAAAACAATGATTTTATATCATTAATTAATGTATTACCATTTAAATCATCCCTAAACCAGTAATCTCATTAAAATGTATATATATATATATATATATATATATATATATATCCCATTGGTTTTATAGTATTTAATTTAGTTAAATAATTTCAAAATAATAATGATTGAAATTTTGTGAAATCGAATTCCGGCTATTTAAAATATTAACTAATTGTTATTATACAACCTCTTACATTTGTACAACCAATACAACTCAATCTCAACCGTCTATTA